AACGCTCAGTGGTTGCTAGATGACGCCCCCTTGTGGTCCCAGCTGCCACTCTTCTTAACGTTTCTCTCCTTCAGCCTCCTTCCGCCTCCTTCCGCCTCGTCACAAAGTCCTGTTGCTTCTACCTCCCAGACACCTCTGGGGTCCAGGCTCCCGTCCACTGACCCTGGTCCCCTCCAGTCGAAACCATCCGCAGCAACCTCCCACCCGGCTTCCCCTGCCCACTACGACCCCTCTTAGGACCATTCCCCTCCTCCCTGCAGCTTAGGTGGTTTTTTTTTTTTTTAGGGGTAACTGATCAAGTCACTCTACTACTTAAACCCTTTAAGGATTTCCACTATCTTTCAGATGAATTCCAAATCCTTAACATGACCTGCACCCAAAAAAAATCTCAACCAGTTGCTGTTGACTCGATTCTGACTCCTGGGGGACCCCATGTGTGTCAGAGCAGAACTGTGCTCCATAGGGTTTTCAACATCTTATTTTTTGGACGTAGATCGCCAGGCCTTTCTTCTAAGGAGCCTCTGGGTAGACTCTAACCTCCAGCCTTTTGGTGAGCAGCCAAGCATGTTAACTGTTTACACCACCCAGGGACTCATTTCTAAAATCTGGTCCCTGTTCATTCTCCCTAATTCCTCTCCTGCCCCTCTACATGCCCAAATTGCTATCAGCTAGAATGACCCCAGGTCTCTTGCCCCAGCCCTTCAGGCACGCCCTTCCCTCCACCTCACTCCTCCTCATCCTCAGGTCGCAGCACAAACCTCACGCCTCCAGGGGGCTGTATCTGAGCCCCAAGGCAGGGTGGGTGCTCTCGTTTATTTTTCTCCCACAGCACCCTCTCCTGCCCTTCTTCTAGCCCCATCCCACCTCTATTATCTGTTCCTTGTCTGCCTTCCCTACAGGAATGTAAGTGTCTGAAGCAGGCACCATGCTATCTTGCTGATGACTGTATCCCCAGGGCCCAAAACAGGGCCTGGCACATAATTGCAGCAACAAAGAATACTGGTTGAGAGGCAGGTGAATCCAGGTTCAAATCCTGGCTCAGCCACATACCACGTATGTGACTTAATACAAGGACTAAACTTCTCTCTCTGTTGCTCCATAAACATTTAACAAATGAATGAAAGAATGAAATAGTGAACAAGAATGGGATCTGAAGTGGTTAGTTCTAAATCTGGCAATACTAGTTAAAAATGGAAGGAAAAATCTAAATGTTAAGGTATGTCACAAATCCTAACGGAATTTCATTCAAACTGACTGCATCCTTGATAGGTGGCTAGTGGATCATCTAACACATGGGTAGAGTCAGATGCCTAGAAAAGGTAGAGAAAATAAGCAACGAACATTTCACAACCTAAAAGAGTAAGACATTAAATTGCGTTTTGTCGTAGCTCAATATTGTTAGTAACTCAACAGTCATGTCTTACAATTCACACAGCTAAAGTAAGCGTTTCAGAAAATGGAATTTAAATATTCTGCAGGGACACTTGCTGTTTATTTTGATAATATGAAGCTTTATGTCAACTTCAGTCACACTATAAAAAAGGTATAATGGACCTAAATGTAGGAAATTATCTGGGCTTATTTAACCTTTCAAAAGGGTGGGGAACCATACCACAAAGCCACATACACTTTTTTGCAAAATGATGGGTCTTTAAGGTAGAGATCCTCAAAAAGGGGTATACGAAGCCTTTCCAAGGGTGCAGGTGCAGACAGCTCAGTTTTAACGGAACTGATCACCAGATCCTCAACTTCCATCTGTATTTTTTCCTGCAACTGGTCTGTCTGAGACACCACCTCCCCTTTCCCGGTCTCGCTTCTCCCACTTCTCCCCACTGGGCCTAACCCTACCTCCAGGGCCTCTGACAAAGGGACAGTTAAAATATCAGTATGCACGAGTCCCTGTGGTGGGGCTTCCTGCTCGTACGTGACTCTCATCAGGCTGCAGCATGGCATTAGAAATGGGGTATCTGGGCCGGCATTGGGATGTTCCAGATTCAATTATATGGTACAATGGGATGACAGATCTTGTTTAACGACCTTGCCTCTTTCATACCCTGGTAAGACGGTATCACTCCTGAGCTAGAGTCCTGTGACCCGTTGCTGTCAAGTCACTCCCAACTCACAGTGACCCCATGTGTGTCAGAACAGAACTGTGTGCCATAGTGTTTTCAACGGGTCATTTTTCAGAAGTAGAATGACAGGCCTTGTTTCCCGAGATACCTCTGAGTGGACTCAAATCTCCAATTTTTCAGATAGCAGCCAAGAGCGTTAACCATTTGTACCACCCAGGGATGCAAATACTGATTCCAGGAGGTAAACATGGGGCTAGGCTTTGTGCCCCTCCCTCCCTTCCTTTCTATCCATCCAAAGATTCAGAAAAAATATGACTGTCACCCACTGCCATCGAGTCGATTCCCACTCACAGTGACCCTACAGGACAGAGTAGAACTGCCCCATAGGGTTTCCAAGGCTGTAATCTGTATGGAAGCAGACTGCCACATCTTTCTCCTGCAGAGTGGCTGGAGGGTTCAAACCATCTACCTTTAGGTTGGCAATTGAACGCTTTAACCACTGCATCACCAGGGCTCCTTCTGATGATTGTCACAGGGATGCCTTGTTACACATTTGTTGAACTGAAAAAAGGTATCAGAGTTTTACTGATAGAAAACAAGTCTGATGTGACTGGTTTGACAGGGAAGACTGGCTTTATCAATGAGATTCAACAACAGACATTTTCCATATATGAAAGAGCTTCATTTGCAGCTCCAAGATCTTGACAAAAATATATTTTAAAAAGCATGTGGTTTATCAAAAAGTGATATCAACAAATGTGTATTATACTATTGTAATCATCTTATCTCTTTTTTGAGTATTTTGGTTTTAAACAAGTTGCCTCTAAGTAAAAGAGAAACAGGTTGAATTAACAGTTGTTTAAGAAGTTTTCATAAAAGCTTTTTCGGTGTGCTTCCCAGAAATTGAGAAAATAGTTCTTCAAGGGCTGAATAACAGTTTCTTTTGTAAGTCAGGTAATTTCCAACTCTTTATCTTCAACACAATAGAGGAAGAACTTAACTGAGTTGTCATTTCTGGCACATAACTCAGAAAGAATTAAAAAAAATTAAATGACGCCCACTTTCAGGAACATATTCTAGAGAAATAAGAGCCATCACATGAATAGACATATGCACACTCACAATAGCAAAAAGATGGAAACAACCTAAGTGCCCATCAACAGATGAATAGATAAACTATTACACATACACACAATGGAATACTACACAACAGTGAAGAACAATGATGAATCTGCGAAGCATCTCACACATGGACGAATCTGGAGCGCATTATGCTGAGTGAAATAAGTTAATCACAAAAGGATAAATACTGTATGAGACCATGATTATAAAAACTCATGAACAGATTTACACACAGAAAGAAACAATCTTTGATGGTTACTAGGGAGGGGAGGGGTGGAAATGGAAAAACACTAACTAGACAATAGATTAAGTGGTAACTCTGGTGAAGGGTAAGACAGTACACAATACTGTGGAAGTCAACACAACTTGACCAAGGCAAGGTCACGGAAGCTTCATAGACACACTGAAACTCCCTAAGGGATCAAATTACTGGGCTGAGGGCTGGGGACCATGGTCTCTGGGGATATCTAGCTCAAATGGCATAACAAAGTTTATAAAGAAAATGTTCTACACCCTTCTTTGGTGAGTAATATCTGGGGTCTTAAAAGCTTGTGAGCAGCCAACTAAGATACTCCACTGGTCCCACCCCATCTGGAGCAAGGGAGAATGAAGAAAACCAAAGACACAAGGGAAAGATTAGTCCAAAGGACTAACAGACCACAGCTACCACAGCCTCCACCAGACTGAGTCCAGCATAACTAGATGGTACCCAGCTACCACCAGTAACTGCTCTAACAGGAATCACAATAGAGGGTACCCAGATGGAGCTGGAGAAAAATGTAGAACAAAATTCTAACTCACCAAAAAAAAAAAAAAAGACCAGACTTACTGGTCTGAAAGAAATTGGAGAAACCCCAAGAGTATGGCCCCCAGACACCCTTTTAACTCAGTACTGAAGCCACTCCTGAGGTTCACCCTTCAGCCAAAGATTAGACAGGCCCATAAAACAAACAATAATACATGTAGCTCAACCATGTATAGGAGACTAAAAGGGTACACCAGCCCAGGGGCAAGGAGAAGGCAGAAGGGGACAGGAAAGCTGGACAAATGGAAATTGGGAACCCAAGGTTGACAAGGGGAGAGTGTTGACATGTCGCAAGGTTGGCAACCAATGCCAAAAAACAATATGTGTATTGTTTAATGAGAAACTAATTTGCTGTGTAAACCTTCATCTAAAGCACAATAAATAAATCTCAATTCAAAAAAAATTAAATGACATTAGTATAACAAAACTCCTGTCATCCCTATGTATTTACTAATGGCTTCTAAACACTTACATCTATAAAAATGAAAAACAGAAAAAAGTGATACTGAATTCCTTCTTATTCTAGCAATAAGTATTATTAATCCATAGATTCATAAACTAATTTTTTAAAAGTCCTATCTATCCCATTAAGGGAGTCCCTGGGTGGTATAAATGATTAATGTGCTTGGTTGCTAACTGAAAGGCTGGCAGTTTGAGTCTACCTAGAGGTACTTCAGAAGAAAGGCGATCTACTTCCAAAAAAGTCAGCCATTGAAAACCCTATGGAGCACAGTATTACTCTGACACACACGGGGTCGCCATGAGTTGGAAACATGGCGGTGGATCCCATTAAAAGTTGCAATTTCAATTTAATAATTATTTTGATTGATAATTACTATTTAATAAAACTAATGATTTATCAAAAGGTATTTGTTTAGATCACATAGCATCAGCCTCCTTACTTGCATTTCTCCTTCCCCATGGTGGATGGGGATGGCAGAGGCTTGGCAGGCCTAAGTGGCCCAGGACCCTTGATTAACCCAGCAGGGAAGGTGACTTACAGGAAGAATGACGAGACAAATGAGGACCGGTCTGGCTTGGCATCAATCACATCTGTATCTGCTGAATCCCCAGCTCCCTGCTCCACGATACAGCTCTGATCATCTGCCATCTGGGAGGAGAAAAAATAAACCAGAAAATCGGTATCAGGGGACATCACCGATCTTGTGACATTTAAAAAAAAAAACTCATTATGCGACATAGGTTTTAGTTACGCCTAGGGGTGAGTAGTTCAGCATATTTAGGCCCCAGGGTTACCGCACCATCAGTTCATCCAAGTGTTTGAGTGTCAACTATATTCTAAGCATCGCTCCAAAGACTGGGTATATAGCAAGGAAGAAAACAAATCCTTGAACTCAGAGAGCTTCTAATCTAGCATCCACAGTTTTGTTACATATTCACCTTGGTACAAGACACTGCAGACCATCTCCACGGTTCGTAAACAAGTAATGACTCTTGGAGATGGGAAAGAGAAGGCATTCAGCTTGGGGGAAGTGTCCAAGGAGGCAAAGTGATGACCTTGGCCTCGAGTTCCGAGTGGCATTACCATGTCACTCTCCAGCTTACCTGAGGGTGAGCTGGGCAGCGGGGAGAGACCAAGAGGGAAGGAGGGTCCCACGGCCAGATCTCTACAATAAGCGTTGGAAGTCAGACGGTCATCTTGCTTCCTAATACATCCTTAATCTCCCCATCACCACCATGTGCTTCCAGCTGGGAGGTAGATTTCTCAGATTAGGACCCAAAATGTTTCTCCAACAACAGAGGTCTCCACAGGAGCCACATACAAGACCAGGCACACAGAAAACTCTCAGTACTTTTTATTCTGTCCCCTTTATATAGACTCAGTTCCTTTTCATTGTGGATTGCTATTAACAAAGCACTCAGATATTCTCAAAATTAACAAGTTAAAGTTAGACAAAATCCACCAGAAAAAAACCAACTTTGACATGCAGTGTTTAAGCCTTAGGCCTTCCGCTAAAGCTCATCTTAAACGCTGAATCTAGAATGTATAAAGCAATGTGACCACTTAAAAAAAGAAAGAAAAAGAAAACACTGAGCATAGCATCTCCTGAGAAGCCAAGCATTTTTTTTTAATACTGTTGGGACTGGGCTGAATTTTGGAGACTCCCCTCTCTCGCTCTCTTCCATGAACATTTACTGGAAGTCTAACGCACCAGGCCCAGTACTAGGAGCCAGGGATACACTGTGAGCAAAACTGACGTGGTCCTGCCTTGTGGGAGACACACGTTGATAAAAGGACAGTGTAAATGTCTAACTGTGATTGTGGGGAGTGTAATGAGGGCAGAACTAATCGTAACCATACCGGGGACCTGACCGAGCCTTGCCTCCGAGCCTTTTCAGCCTTGAGCCTTTTTGAGAAGTCAGGGAAGGTTCGCAGGGGAGGCAATGTCTGCCTTGAGATCTGAACCGCAAGTAGGAGATAACGAGGTAAAGGGGAAGCAGACGAGCCATGGAGACAACTGTTCAAGTCAAAGAGAACCGTACACGGCCCAGTTCAATCACCCAGCGTAATCCCTCATCCTTCCCAGACACGTGAACTTGGCTACAGAGACATTAAGTTCAGGTGGATTTCTATGGCTCAAACGGCAAGAGGCTTTCCAGAGCTTTCCCTCCAAACAGTAGGCCATAAGAGTCTTCTTTTTGAAACCTACAGCCTCTCTCTGGGTTGAAGGTGAACAAAACCTGCAGGGCACGAAGCTTTCCTTCCAACCACCTGCCAGGGTGAATTTCTACAAGTCCAGTGGTACTTAACGCTTTCAAATCTGTCAGGCTAAGTGTTCAGTCACTCTCTTATTCCTAAGAGGCTGAGTTTGATTTCTGGAACCAACCAAAGTGCATTCATACCCCAGGGGGGTGACCAAGTGGGGTGCCTGATCCCGGCCACATCATTTCAATCAAGAAACAAGCTGCCTCGAGAACCAAGACTTGGTTTTGGCCCCTCATTTCCGTTCATCCTCATGGCACACCAAGAAAATCCAGGCGTATCTCAGTCTGCCACGCCACCCGGAAACAGCTTGCTGGCACCATTTCCTTGTATTTGCCCCCTTCTTGGGGCCCACACTGCAAACAGCAGTCATCCAAGGGATTCTGCTTATTCGACTGTTAAATACGCCTATCTTCTCTTTAAATGTCAATATGATACACAAAGCACTAACAGTGCCACTCTGTTAGTTATTGCTATTGACACTAACATCAACTAGAACTGTTTGGCAGACTGACAGTGTATCTTAATCATCTTTCTTTTACCAGTATCTTAGTCATCTAGTGCTGCTATAACAGGAATACCACAAACGGATGGCTTTAAGAAAAAGAAATTTCATTTTCTCACAGTCTAGTAGGCTAGAAGTCCAAATTTGGGGCATCAGCTCCAGGGGAAGGCTTTCTCTCTCTGTCGGCTCTGGAGGAAGGTCCCTATCATCAATCTTCCCTGGTTGAAGACCTTCTCAGCACAGGGACCCCAAGTCCAAAGGAAGCGCTCTGCTCCTGGCTCTAGTTTCTTGGTGGTATGAGGTCCCTGTGTCTCTCTGCTCTCTTCTCTCTTTTATATCTCAAAAGAGATTGGCTTAAAACACACTCTAATCTTATAGATTGAGTTCTGCCTCATTAACATAACTGCCACTAATTCCACCTCATTAACATCATAGAGATAGGATTTATTACACACAGGAAAATCCCATCAGATGACAAAATGGTGGACAATCAAACAATACTGGGAATCATGCCTAGCCAAACTGATACACATATTTTTTGGGGACACAACTCGATGCATGACAATCAGGCACAGAAAAGTGCCACACACACAGCAGGCACTCAAGAAATATTTCTTTATGAACATTACAACCAAAATGCATTTTTAATTCCTTCAGTGCCAGAATAAACTGCTGACATAGGACAGACAACGCAATGAAAGGGACCTAGGAGGGCAGCTGCGAGAGTCCAGGCATGGCAATCAGTTGATCTCGGGTCAAATTAGCTCCTCAACGTTATTAGCCATGAAACCTCAGACAAAGTACTTAATGACTCTGAGCCTCAGTTTCCCCGTCTGTAAAATGGGCAAACCATGACACCTAAGTCACAGGTGGCTGTGAAGGTAAATGGAACTATGCATGTAAAACGCTAAGTACACTGTGGCATGTTCTGAATGTTCAGTAAGTATTTCTATTACCATCACTGTCCAGAGAACTCAAGACTAAGACATTCAACTGTCAATTTGCACTGAGATTTTAAAACCACATCCATATTGTAAATAGCTTTTGTGGAGACAGAAACAAAATTCCTCTAGTGATTATTTCAAAACACGCTTTATTACTGTCCCCATATTGGGGCAACTGGTACATATCTGGGTAAGAAATCACTTCCCAGCCATTGTTTGAACTTGGGATTTTTTTTTCATGAGGAAGGAAATAGACTCATTGCAGCTGTTTCCCCAGAAAAGCAACATACTACAATTTGTGCTGCACTTCTTGACCAAATAAAGGCAATCTTTCTAAAGGGTTCAAAGAGAAGCAGCCCTGGTAAACTTCCCCTGTCACCTGTGCACCTGGGGGCAGCTCTGCTGGGCACTCAGGTGCTCCACTGTGTCACCTGCTCCTCACAGCACTGCCAGGAGACAGGAACCTTGCCCTCTGTTCTGCAGAAGAAACCTAGGTTTCTTCAGAGAGGCTAAGTAACCTGCCCAACGCCACATGCTAAATGGGTACAGAAGGTGGCTTATGAACCCAGGTGTTGGAACTTGGGTTGTGATACCGAGGACAAAGGTCAGGCTGGTTGCCTAGAAGATCCTGAAGGAGGAAACAGCCAATAAGTAAGCAAAGGTCAGGGTCACATCGGCCAGCCCACATGTTCAGGAGAAAAGGGCTGGGAATGGCTCATCCAGAGCCACCTGCAAGCAACTTAAAAAAAAACCAACCGACCAACCAACCCCGTGGCCATTGAGTAGATTCCGACTCACAGAGACCCTACAGGACAAAGCAGAACTGCCTCATAGGGTTTCCAGAGAGCGGCTGGTGGATTTGAACTGCTGACCATTTGGTTAGCAGCCAAACGCTTAACCACTGTGCCACCAGGGCTCCTGCAAGCAACTTTACGGCCCCATAAACCGCAAAGCTGCGTACAACAGTGAAGGGCTACAAGGTCGCCCGTAGCCTGTGAGTCCACAGGACCAAATATCGCCGGCCCTTTTCACCTCCTCGAGGCCCCTCCATGAATCCTGCAGCAAGGATAGCCCGACAATGACGATAGTAGCGCACACGTACTGAGCCTGTGCTGAGGCTCCGCTGTGCACCGCCATCACCTCCTTCCATGCCCGTAGCCACCGTCAGCCAGGGATCCCTATCATTCCCATTAACAAACAGGCACAGACAAGGTCAAGCTCCTACAGCTCGCAAGCAGGAGTGCGGGGATTGGTTCCACTAGGCCTGTCTGACCCGGAGCCTTCGCTGTTAACTGCGGTGCCAGATAACGCACCCTTCCTTTCTGGTAACGCAGTGGTTAAGGGCTCGGCTGCAAACTAAAAGGTCAGCAGTTCGAAACCACCAGCCGCTCCTTGGAAACTCTAAGGGGCAGTTCTACTCTGTCCTATAGGGTCGCTGTAAGTCGGAATCGACTCAATAGCAAAGGGTTTTTTTTTTTTTTTTTTTAAAGGAGCGGGGTTCCAGCAAATTCTGTACTGTACCGGGTGTCCCAAGTCCCAGGCAAGGAGGGAAGGGAGGACAAGCTGAGCAAAGCAAGCGATGCTGGGGGCGGGGTGAGCACTTCCCCCAAGTTTCAACGGCTGTCGTCGGGGCCGCTCCCGGGGCCGGGGCCGCTCCCCCCCGCCCCCGCCTGTCTCAAACTGCGGTCGCGACGGCGAAACCACGCAGGATGGGAAGGAAGGGGAGGGAAAGCGCGCGTCAGAAGGGTGGGAGAGCGCCGGCGGAGCGGCGGCCGCAGTTACCGTTCCCAGGGAAGTCGGCCGGCTGGAGCTGGAAGCCGTATCTGTCACTCCTGCGCGGGGATCTGGGGCCGCTGTAACGAAAGCGAAAGTAAAAGCGGAGGCGCTGCAGGCGGAGGAGCCGCCGGAGCAGGACCTGGAGCCGGGAAAGGCTGAGTACACCGTCCCGGATTCGGAACCCAGCGCTCCGCAAAGTTGGCGGCGCGCAAGATGACCTACGTCACTGCCGGGGGGACAGCGCACCGTCTGGGGAGACCGCTCTCTGCAAAGTTGGTGGCGCGCAAAGTGGCCCTGACCACCGCACGCACCGTCCGGGGACAGCGCGCACTGTCCCCGAAAAGCGCGCTCTTTGCACCCAAGAGCGTGCTGTACGGACTTTGCAGAGTTAAATCCCGCCTTTCCGCGCACAGTCCCAGGAAGCGCTTATTCTGCAAAACTGGCCACGTTCACAGTGACCCAGGACAGCGCTCCCTGCCGACTCAGCGGCGCGCAAAATCAT